TGGCTTATTTAACTTATATGCAGAATACATCATGTGGAAGGCTGGACTGGAGGAATCCCAAACTGGAATTAAGATTGCCGGAAGAAATATCAACAACCTCCGATATGCAGATGATACCACTCCGATGGCAGAAAGTGAGGAGGAATTAAAGAACCTTGTAATGAGGGTGAAAGAGGTGAGTGCAAAAACGGTCTGAAACTCAACATCAAAAAAACTAAGATCATGGCCACTGGTCCCATCACCTCCTGGGAAATAGAAGGGGAAGATATGGAGGCAGTGACAGATTTTACTTTCTTGGGCTCCATGATCACTGCAGATGGAGACAGCAGCCACGAAATTAAAAGACGCCTGCTTCTTGGGAGGAAAGCGATGACAAACCTCGACAGCATCTTAAAAAGCAGAGACATCACCTTGCCAACAAAAGTCCGAATAGTCAAAGCTATGGTTTTTTCCTGTCGTGATGTATGGAAGCGATAGCTGGACCATAAAGAAAGCTGACTGCCAAAGAATTTATGCCTTTGAATTGTGGTGCTGGAGGAGGCTCTTGAGAGTCCCCTGGACTGCAAGGAGAACAAACCTATCCACTCTAAAGGAAATCAACCCTACTTTGGCCATCTCACGAGAAGAGAAGACTCCTTGGAAAAGACCTTGATGTTGGGAAAGTGTGAAGGCAAGAGGAGAAGGGGACGACAGAGGGTGAGATGGTTGGACAGGGTCATCGAAGCAGCCAATATGAATTTGACCAAACTCCGGGAGGCAGTGGAAGATAGGAGGGCCTGGTGTGCTCTGGTCCATGGGGTCACGAAGAGTCGGACACGACTAAACGACTACGAATAGAAGTATAGTTTCCAAATCCCACAGCATTAGTTAGGCCTCACCTTGGGTATTTTGTTCAGTTATGGACATCACGCTTCAAGAAGGATGCTGACAAATTGGAACAAGTTTAGAGGAGGGTGACAAGGATGATCAGGGGACTGGAAACCAAGTCTTATGAGGAAAGGCTGAAAGAATTGGCCATGTTTAGCCTTGAGAAAAGAAGACTGAGGGGTGATATGATAGCACTTTTCAAATATTTGAAATGCTGTCATACAGAAGAGGAGCAAGATCTGTTCTCAATCATCCCAGAGTGCAGGACATGCAACAATGAGCTCAAGTTAAAGGAAGCCAGATTTTGGTTGAATATCAGGAAAAACTTCCTAACTGTTAAAGCAACACGACAGTGGAACCAGTTACCTCAGGAGTTGGTGAGTGCTCCAACACTGGAGGCATTCAAGAAAAACTTGGATAATCACCTGGCAGATATGTTTTGATTGTATTCCTGCCTTGAGCAGGGGGCTGGACTTGATGGCCTTGTAGGCCCCTTCCAACTTCCCTTTTCTATTATTCTATGAAAGCCCTTCCCAAATCCATAACTAATATTCTGTTTACAAAAGCATACCTGCCCCCTGTGATTCAAATAAATGAGTGAATGAATATTATGCTCCTTATTATGTTAAAATGATGCTATTTGGCATGTGGTGACTTTACTTCATCAGATGTATGAAGCTAACAGGGAAAATAGTAGATGTAGAATCTATACATGGGGAGTAGGTGTGGGTGGCAGTTAAGAGTGCCAAAAGGGAATTAGAAAGACCAGGGTCCAAGTCTCTACATAGGCATGAAATCTATGCACATGATCCATGCATGTAATCCATCAAGGGCAAACACATCCTACGAACATGCAGTACACCGAGTTAGCCCATCAGTTTATCTAACTTACTGGATATTACTTAACCACTCTCGGGTCTCAAACACGGGCACCAGTCCCAGCACAAAGGCTTGAGATTTTAAGTGGATATGTTGGGGTTGAATCCATGCCTTTGGATACTAACTCTGCCAGAGAAAACCCTCTCCAAACCCACGTCATGTTTTATAACGAGCATCATTTAATGCATTTCTTACGGAGATTTCACCTACAAGGCTTCTGCCGTTGTTGCCATGGTACCAGCACACACAGAGAGAGAGAGAAAAACACGCAGGGACCCCCGCATTCCTGTCTGGGAAGGCAAATGCCTCCTCCGGTGCCCACAAGGCGTCAACCCCCCACGCCAAGCTCCTGCCGAACGACCGCACAGGATGTGGCCCATTGCTTCGTGCCCATCTTGCCCCTACAATGTTCGCCCATCACGCAGAGACCTCTTGCAAAAAAACCCATGTCAGGCAAAAAAAGGGACCTTTTGCTCCTTTCACCCTCGGAGAGGCTTCGCCGCTCCGCTTCCTTAGAGGTCCCCACGTAACAGCTGGATCAAAAAAGGGACCTTTTGCGCCTTTTGCTCCTTCCACCCTCGGAGAGGCTTCGCCGCTCCGTTTCCTTAGAGGTCCCCACGTAACAGCTGGAAGGGAGAGGAAAGACCCTTTGCTCGCCCCGATGAAACGCCTCGCCTTCGGGGGGTTTTTTTGCTCGCGCTGCGCAAGAACAGCTTAGCAACGATCACAGGAAAGGTGCCGGAAAGGGGATGAAAAGGGGGGCGAACCCCTAAAAGACCGCCTCCAACCCGCCTCCCGCCCCACGAACGCCGCCTCCGCTCCAGATCCTTCCCCCTTCGTCTACAGAGATTATCCTGCACCCACGACCCGTTTGGTCCCCTCACCGGTCCCTGGCAGGAGGAAGGCCGGAGCCTCCTCGGAGATCAGGAGCCCCAAGAGAGACGAGCGAGAAAACGCGCCAAACGCGAGCGCGCCAGAGAACGACCGACGGGAAGTGACGTCAGAGGGCGCGCCCCCCCTAGACTTAAAAATGGTAGAAGGGTAGCTCGTTTGCTTGGAAGAAGACGACCTGAACAGGGTGTTCTTCCCCCGGTTGGCAGGGCAGACGTTGCCCTAGAGAGGACAATAGAAGATGTGATCTTTCATTCTGCTGGCTGATCTCTACGACAACCCTGCAGTGTAGACTATGGTCGTATTCTTATATACTGTACTTGGAGTCCGCGGCGTTCGTTCCTCTTACTCCTCCGCGGACGGTCCCCATTTCCTATCAAGTGTAGCCCTAGAGCAGTTACTTTATTTTTTTCTTTTACAATTTTGTCAACGGCTTTAATTCTTTTTAGGGAGGCCTCGTTCTTATCTTGGTAGTGTGAGCTGCTGGATATGCTGAAGGTTGTGATAGAGTGGGTAAAATTTTGGACTAGGATTCTGGCCGACCTGAGTTCGCTCGACTCCTCACTTAGAGAAGGAAGCACAGGGTGAAGTTTCATCTCTATACTGGAGATGCAGAAAGAGCCTCAGTACGGATTTCCACATGTGGTGGGAATGTGAGAGGATTCAGGAAGTTTGGGAAAAGGCGTTCAGAGAAAGTAAATAAAATTATAGGTATCAGTTTGGAAACATTTCCAGTGACAGCTTTGCCAAATATTTTTGGTAATCTATAACTGAACTGGGGACTTTTATCTATCAATGATAAATTAAGATGTAAAGTGAAAATTAGAAAATAAATATTAAAGGTTAATTATTTTAAGGATATTTGAGATGTATTTATAGAGCATGTTTCTGTAAAAAGGAAAGGACAAACCCCAACCCAAGACTCATTTTTCTGAAAATAATTGGGGTATGTTGATTAGATAGAAAGGAAGAGTAAGAAAGGGATGGAAGTTGTAATTAATACTGTAAGCTAATACCCTGGTGGTGATGAATACCAACCGTACTAGGGTGTTTTCTTGCTTTTTTTGGTTTTTGTACATTATTGTATTAAATATACATTTTTTGTATGTATATGATTATTTAAAAATAATTTAAAGCCTAGTGTCTACTCATGTATAGTGTTGGTGGCTAGAATCCACCATGTAGTTAGGATTGTTGATTATGAAGTAAATATCAGAGCATTAAGGGGCCTAGTGATCCCACTAGTTGGTCCCATCGGGTTTGATTGACACTTAACATACTTGAAGGTGTGAATTTTGCATTAGCAGATGAAGAGTTCAGCATGAGCACATAAGAGGAAGCAGTGTTTCCCAGCTAGCTTAGCCAATAATAAGCAGGTGTGTTTTGTTTTCTGCACTACGTGTGGCTTATTAGTGATACAGAGTGATCTTGGAAACTGCCACAGATTACTTCAGATGCTTGTTGTCCAGCTTCAAAGCTTGAATTACTTTCTTGGGGTATATCTTTTCCTTTCCCCCAATCAATAAAGTGCATTGAACAATTTCCCTCATTTTGTTTCTGTAAGTTTATAGGGGGCATAAGTTAAGGTGTGATCAGATGGCCAGAAAGGTATGCATCTAATTGCACCAGATATGGTTGCTTTGCCAGGAGCAATCTCCCTTAAAGTGACCTTTCTGTTTGTCAAAGAATCACTCTCCAGCCTGGGCCCCCAAAAGTACTGTAGTAGCCGTCCTTCAGGGCCAAAATGGTATAGCTTGGGCATGGATCACAGTCAGGTTGGAGCACTATTCCCATATGTCATGTGATCATTGGGAGGTCACTTGAATCAAACTACAACACAAGCGGTCCCAAATGAGGGCTATATACCCCTATGATCGCACCCTTTGGTGGTGTGGCAAGCCAGGGCCAGTCCTACTATGAGGTCACGGAGCAGAGTGCCAGGGATGCAGAAGGAGATGACAGAACTCAGTTAAGTGGCAGGAACCCCCACAGGCCATTAGAAGATGCAGAGGAAGAGACTGCAGCCATGCCGCTGCTGCATGTCATTGGCACTTTCTTCAAGGCCACACTATACAAAGCCAGCTATTTAATAACGTCTGGCCCTTTAGGATCTGCAGAGCCAAAGCAACGTGGCAGGGATGAGTTGGCTCTTGGCTGCTTCTGGCTCCTTTTCTCCCCTGGTAGCCCATCTTGGGCAGACTCCAACCCTGCCTCCTGTTCACCCTTTGTTGTCTTCATCTTGCCCCCCTCCCTTTAATCCAACAGCAGAACATGACTGTATACAGAGAACATCATGAGAAAGTGCTCCCTCTCTAGCACAAGATGGCAAGTGGTTGCATGTGACTGTTACTATGTGCACATGCTGTCGGAAGAGTGAGAGGTGGGTACTCTCCATGGGGAGAAACTTGTGCAGTGTGTTGACGGTGCTTTGTTTCTTACCTCAAGTGATCGGAGAGTTTGAGTTGCCTCATAGCAGGATTAGATGAGACATTTCTTGGTGGCCAATCAGCCGTATTCACAACTAGGTTCTAGTACAAACATTTAGGACTCAGCTGTCCTTAAACCCAGTTCTGGGAGAACATCCTTTCAGTTCTGTCCCACAGCTCTGCAAATGTTGTGCCTGGCTTTAGTCTTGGATAGTTTGTATTTTGTCATCAAAATCAAAGCCTTATTCATTTTTCATTCAGCCTTTTATTGCAGGATTATGAGTTATGCAGTGGATACCCTACATATTTCATCACAGCCACATCCTATTAATTTCCTCAGTCTTCCTTCTCATCACCATGTGTGATGATGTAACACAAAGACTTGTAATCAATGTTTCCAGCCACATCTATAGGAGCTAGAGCAAACATCTGTTCCACCTAGAAAGCAAGCAAAAAAAAACAAAGGGGAGGGTGGATTAAAATGAGGTATTGCATTGAACTAAGCCAATATTATTGACTATAGAAAATGTAATAGGATATCTAAGGCTTCCATTCCCCTTCCAAGAACCTTCTTTCTGCATAATGTGACTGAAGGAACTTCATTCTTGTAGCTTTCACTGTACTCCGGGCAAAATCATGGTGTTTTGTCCCTCCAAATGGCTATTTAATTCCATAGTATGTTGCCATTAAAACACACCCGTTATTAAATCACGGGTTAATATTAAAACTCATTGCAATGAAAAACAGATCTGCACCCAGTCCTTTGAGAGTTAAATTCGACAGTACATTTATCTTGTATTTAGAAGCAGTGCTCACTCAGGTAGTGAAATATATCTATTTGTTCTAGCCCAACCCTTTTTCACCTCTGTATCTTCCATTGTGGCTTGTTTTGTGATTGGTCATTGAAAGGTAAACAGAGGCTTAATTTGCAAGCCTGATTGCTAAGGCACTTTTCCCTGAGGAAACTACACAGTGGAAAAAAAGAACTGCAAGGAATGACACTTCCATTAATGTCTATTTTGACCTTGTTTCAGGCTATGGTAATACATTTATTGAAAAGGATCTTACAGCTTTAATGTCCCTATAATAAGCAAGAATATTCCTGGGAAGGACAAATTTGGATTTAAGGAGGAAATGTGGGGGACACTGCAGGCAATTGTACATCAAAAAGAGTTGTCTTACCTCCTCAGCAGAGAATTTATCTGCCTGTGTCATTAGGAGTTGTTTGAACCTGGAAATCAAAATAAATACAAAATGAAAACAGGATGGGATCAGATAGCTGGAAAGGCACATGCCGGATTGCACCAAAAAGGGTTGCTTTGTAGGGAGTGATCTCCCTTAAAGCAACCTTTCGGTCTGTCAGGGAATGGCTTCAGCTCAGCACCCGGAAGTAGTAGCTGTACAGCTTGACCAAAACAATCCAGTTTGGGTATGGATTAGGTCAGGATGGAGCACACATTGTGTGATCTCCAGGAAATACCTTGCACTGGACTACTTCCCAAGGGATCCAAAATGTGATTTCTTTCCCCATTTGATCGTGACCTCTGTGTCTTTTCAACACACCACCCAGCCCTCTGGTCTTGTTTGCTAAATAAATTGTGGTCTGTATTGCTCGTAGAGAGAAATGTAACTCAAAAATATCAACAAGAAACACAGCAAACTAAAAGCAAATAAATAAAGAAGGGAAATACATTGTAGCAACTTTAAAGACTAACTGCTATATTTTAATGTGAGCTTTTGTGAAACAAGTCCATTTCTTCAGATATACGAGTGAGAAACTATGTGACAAAACATTCACATGTGGATCTGAGATAAAAGAGGCAGTGGCGGTTACTAGATTCTAGTTGTACATTATGTGAGACATCCTGTCATTTTACATTGCATTTCACAGCTGTATACAGAGCAATGCTTCAAAAGAAAAGAACTGAATACCAAACAGGGATCTTCTTAGGTCCTTACTAGGTGTGAAATGACAGAATGGCTCACACAATTTGTAACTTGAATCTATAAACCACCACTGTCTCTTTATTTCAGAGCCATGTATGAATGTTTTGTCATGTAGCTTCATTCTCGCTCATATGTCCGAAGACGTGGATTTCTTATATGAAAGCACACATTAAAATGTAGCAGTTAGTCTTTAAGGTGCCACAGTGGCTTTGTCTTATTTGCTCTTGTTTTCCATTTCTTGTTAATATGCTTGCACAGACTAACATGGCGACCATTTCGAAAACTATAATTCAAAAATCTGACACTCTGTGTAACTTACTCCTCTTTGTTCACATAGCCAGTTCCATTAGAGTCAAAAAGTTTGAAAGCAGCAAGAATGGAATCCTCGGGGTCAGTGCCTATGGAAGAAAGAGGTTATTGTTACTGAAAGGGGAATAAGAACGTGGAGGGAAGTGCAGCACTGTCAATTCAGGGGCATTTGGCCCAGAATATGGTGGTCACTTTCAAACTGCCAAAAATAAAAATAAAATAAAATAATAAGGAATCATTTCCTAATTGGACAAAGACAAAGATTTATATATCATGTGGATGTGTATAGATTTACACATAGAAATCATTACTGTAATTTAAATAGGCATACAAAACATATTTCACAATAGTAGAAAGGACTGTAAGCAGGTGACCGGGGGGCCTCTGTGTTATCTTGATGTGCAGGTTCATAGCTCCTGCTCTCCTGCCTTGTAGTTCCTTTCCTTAAACCGTGCTTAAGCTTGAGAAAGGATGCTTTCAAGTCAAGGGCGGTTGTTTGTAACGTAGGATACATGGTTCAGAGTTTGGAAAAATTACTCTTTTGAACTAAAACTCCTAGAAGCTCCCAGCCAGCTTTGATAAGGCCATGCAGGCTGGTAGATTCTTGGAGCTGTTATCTAGCCATTCTTGCTGGGGCAGTCTGGCAGTTCTAGTTCAAAAATTAGCTTTTATAAGCTGTTCTCTAGGCCAGGGCTGAGGGTCAGTGCGCAAGGTCCATGGACAAGGTGGCACCAACTCACCATTCAGTTTCTCCCCAAAGAGCGTTAAGAAGACGGTGAAGTTAATGGGTCCCTTCCCTTCCTTTAGCATCTCATCCAGCTCTTCATCCTTCACATTCATTTTCCCTGTGGAGAGAGGAAACATGCCCTCCCCCAGTTAATGCTATTTTGAACTCAATGTATCTTTCAACATGGTCTAGCATTCTCTGTTCAGCCGGTGAACATGTCTTTCTCCATCAGAACCTGTCAAGTTCCCACAGTGCGCAAGCCCAGTCATGCAGTCAGGATGAGTGCACATCTTCAAAAGAGGAGATGTGTTGATGTAAAATGAGGATGAAAGAAGATACAGAGATGTACAAGTACATGCTGATTCATAAGTATTGGTCATAATTTACAAAACATCTAAACACTGAAGAACTCTGAAAAGTTACTTTTGGGGCTATATTTTCCAGAATGCAGTTACCACCGTGGGCAGCAGCTTGAAGGCCCCATCTCCTCACTTATTTTTTTTCTTTTAATAGTATATAGTGGCTCTAGATGAGGTCTCAATTTTATCTCATTCTCAGAAATCATTGATACAGACTGCTACTTTTTAATGACTTGTTAAAAAATGTAAAATAATTTAAAAAACCCCAGCTGAGATGAAAATACAATAGGATTAGAAACAAAATGAAGATATTTTCAAGACGAAAAAAAGAGAAAGAAAAAGAAAAGAGCGGGAGGAAATCCACGAGAGTGTCTACACATAGACTTCTATAAAAGGACTCCAAATATCTAAAAGTATATTCACACATAGTTGTCCCTCTATAAGCTGATAAACTGACAATGTTATACATGTTTTTTAAATTCTCTGATAGCAGGCATCTTATCTTTCCAATGATGCAAAATAAGTCTTTTTGCAGTAGTCAAAGCAAGTTTTCCCTAGAAGTAACGTCTTTACTTTGGGGAGTATACCTTCCAACATAAGCATCAGCAGAGATCAAAGAATGGTCCACCACAAAATTAATGTGAGTCAGTGCTGTCACCTCCTGAATGTCAGTGCTGTCACCTCCTGAAAGCTTGAAGTCTTTACTTGTGAGTTTTATGTAAACAGACAGTTTAAAGTGGCAATGACAGAGTGAAAATTGGAATTGTGTATGTCTCTTCCATCTTCCTTTGAGAACGACTACATCATGGTGGAACATGTCTGATTTAGGGATGTGTACTGTATCTAGAGGAAAAACTATGAACTGCAACACCTTTAAGGTATTAGAGAAGGGCATATTTCTTTAAGGAAAAATAATATAATGGCAACTCCCTCTCCTCTGTGAAGGGCTTAGGATTCTGCTGTTTGGGAGAAGCTGGTGAGCCCAAGCTGCTTTGTTGCTGTTGGCTTTGTTTTGGGGTAGGATGGGAGTTGGGATTTCAATTTAAAAGAAAGTTCTGTAGGAAGGTATATCCCCCAAAGTAAAGTGGTGGCAGCTTTACCTCCTTTGAAATTTAATTTGAAAGAAGCACCCTCACCCCATCCTCAGTTTGGAAGTCAAAGCTCTGCATGAAAGGAAGAATATGTTTTAATTTGAGGGGAACAACAACAAAAAGTCAATCATTTGGGTAAAGTCTTACTAAAGCTTCTGCAGCCTTTTCCAGGTACCACAGTTTTGGGGACAATGGCCCAGTCTTGAGTTCCCCAGAGGCAAGAAATATATTTTTCAGTTTCATGACTGTGATTGGCTGTTACTGTGTCTACCTGTGCTTGCAACTATTTTGTCCCATTTGGCATAATAAAAGGACACTTCCACCACAAGCAGAGTTCATCTTGTTATTTATTTTATTTTTTGCCCATGCCAGTCCTGATGAGTGTCCAGGAGCAAGGCCAGGAGCAATGATTGCTTGTGTTTCTTCTTAAACATGCTCTAGATGGAAGTTTAAATACTGAAGGGACACATCTGTGGGGCCATGTTTCCAGGCTATTTGTGGTCTAAATTTTGCTTTAAACCAATTTCCTTTGGAAATTATATTGGATTGATGCAAACAAAAGGTGGGGAGGATACAGAGCATCATGTTTCAACCTGTGTTTCTGCCTTTTAAAAATTAATTTTAATAAGTGCCATAGCACTCAAGTGATGCAACATAATAGTAGGAAAGTTTTCTTTTAAATTAAAAAAATAACTTTTTAATTTTCTTTTCACTTCAAAAAATATGGAGGCTGCCATCTGCAATCATAGCCAGACTACATCTACTATGTTCCAAATAAACAGTAGGCTCCAACCCAAATTTGTCTCCATTAAGGACAGGTTCCAGAGGGCTACAGAGTGGGATAAACTCTCATGAAGCTGGTCTTTAAAACTTATAACATGGGAGACACGCGCGCACACACACACACACACAGAGAGAGAGAGAGAGAATGATCCTCTTCCCTACATGCTGCTTCGGAAATTGATTATTTTTATTTTTCCCCATCTTGAACCATATTACTATTGTTGCTTTTTATTTTATTATACTGTTTTTATTCTATTTTTAATTGTTCACCACCCAGAGTAGACTTGTGTCTAGATGGGTGGGGTATTTAATAAATAAAATAAATTAATAAATAAAATCATGAAGAATGAAACTCCATTATTTGTGTATCTGAAATTATGCTAATTGCCCACATTGGGGTTTTATATCATTCTCACTTTTGCTGTGTTTGACGTCACAGCTGGCCTGAAAAAGAATGCAGTGAAGCTTATTTTGTAACTTTTTTGCTTGGCCCTGTCAGTATTCTGGACATGTATTCAAATGCATTCAAAGTAGGTCACATGTGTTATAAAGAGATGAAGTCATTTCTTAGTTTCATTATTTTGGCTTTTTTTCCATTACAGTACCATAAAATATTTTCTCAAATCATTTTATTTTTGTAAGGCACACCTGAAAAACAAAATCTCTCTCTCTCTCTCTCTCTCTCTCTCTCTCCGTCTCTCTCTGTACATGTCTCTGTATCTTTGACTTTCTCTGCGTCCTATTGACTTATACAGTATGTCTTTGGGACCTGTTGATCCTGCCACCAGTCCTGGCCTCCCAATGCTAATAGGAACAGTGGCACCGATTATTATGCTATTTTGTACTTTCCATCAATCATCCCTCCCTTCCGTATACACAAGGCATTCTGGAACTAGCAGAGATCTCTGGAGAAATCATGTCGGAAAAATTGAATACGGTATTTATCTCAGTCTACACATCTTTGTTCAACAACACACTCCCTCCAGAGAAGAACCTGTGGCATTACTGCTATTTATAGGGTTTCTTGTTCTGCTATAATGTTGCTTCTGGTTTGTCTCAGTAAGATGTGAACAATAGGTGCACACATACAATAAATTTCCACATATATCCTTAAGCATGATTCGCTTGGGGTTGCAACCTAGGCTGCCCCCTGGATCTCCAAACTCTTCTGAGTTATATTCTCTCCGTGGACTTCAGGTTCTGAGAAGTGCACGAGCACTAAAAAAAACACACCATATGAATTTGCTAACCTCCCTCCTTTTGTAAGTGTCAAGCTATTTATCAAAATGGCACCATCCGAGTTGAAGATAAATGAAGTGCTCACAGCTCCCAAAATAACACAGTTACTACATCATCTGTAATAGCTCAGATAAGTAAGGTTCCTACTTCCTGCTACATCCCAGTTAGGAAAGTCCCAAATTTTTCATTTTGTCTTTCTTGATAAATATCAATCCAAATTTAAGTTGAATACCAGGAAAAACTTCCTAACTGTTAGAGCACTGTGACCAATTATCAATTACCTCAAGAGGTGGTGAGCATCCCAGTGCTGGGGGCTTTCAAGAAAAATTAGACAGCCATCTGTCAGATATACTTCAGTTTTGATTCCTGCATTGAGCAGGGGGTTGGACTCAATGGCCTTGTAGGCCCCTTCCAACTCCATTATTCTATGATTCTATATTTTTATAAATACACCATAAAAGAAGAAACTGAGAAGCAGAAAGAACCATAACTTAGTGACTGGGTGGCCACTAGAAACAGAGGTCAAAGCTCCTATACTTTTAAGAGCTATGTGGAAGGGGGAATTCCTGCAAATACTGCTCCTCACTCTGCTGAAGTGCCCTCTACCTTCTTTTTAGCTCTGCTTTTTGTGTGTGTGCCCACACTATTTCTGCTTTGTATGCCGAAGTTGCCAGATTCAGTCAACAATAAAACAGCTTCTTGAGTTTCAAGCCTTCAATAGTACATAGTCCCTTTCCACATCACTAACAGAGTTGTAAATTTTGAACTGTAGGCACTTGTGATGGCATTTCCTATATAGCCATGCACCCCAAGGGAAGTCCAAAAATATGTGATGTGCCCCTTTCATAACATTTAAACCATATGTATAGTATTTTTCATATCCACTACAAAAGCTGTTTCCTTCACATTGAAGACCAAGTTCCCTCCTCTGTTTGCATATTTTTCTCATATCTAGAAAAATCTACTTCATCCTCAGACAATTACAAGGACTATAGCTACGATCAGGGGAAACACAGAGGCAGCAGGAGAGGCTGATGTTGACAAATGATGGCATCAAAATGGTGCTCCTGTTAATGCATCCTGGTTCCGCTCTATTGGTGAGTAAGAAGATTTATATGTCCAAATGGTTTCCATGACTAAAAAAGTAGAGGACATGCTAATTATATAATGGATCCAACAGGTTGCTATTTGAGGACTAGAATCTCTAGCAGATGTAGCAGTCTCTGTTTCTGAACTTCGTGCCTCCTATTCCATGGAGCATAAGCCTGACCTTGTCTTTCATTCTTCCTGCAGAGTGCAGTTTTGTACTCACCAAGTTGACCATATGTCTCTTTCAAGTCTGATTTGCTAATAATGCCATCACGATTCTGGTCAATGCAGCTGAATGCCTTGGAGAAAGATAAGTCAAATTAATTCCCCCGCTGTCTCTTGACTTGACAACTCCTTTTGTACCACTATAAATAAGAACTCCTACTCACACAGATATTTCTTTCTTCCTCATGCCATCCTTTAGAAAACACCATCTCAGCCCCCTGAACTCTCTCCACTGGGTGGGGGAAGTGTCTTTGTACAAGTACGTAATACTGTACTTAAATCTATGTTGTATGCTCATGTGTTAGCATTTCTTGGCCAGAATCTGTATGCAAACCCAAAAACCTATACTGTATTAGACATTTTAGTAAAAACTGGTGTTTTACTTCATGTATTAGATTTATTCACACATGAGTCACAAAAACTGAGCCAAAACTCAGGAGATGGGGTACATTTTACACAAACGTAATCCTGTGTAACATGCAGATCCCTTCCCATTTTCAAGGCCAGTTAGGGTGGGAGCATTGACTGCCAAGCAAAACAAAAATTTTATTTCATTTAGTACAATGAAGATTGGCAGCCCAGCCTCCACTCAAATAATCTGGTTTTGTTGCATCACCCCATGATTCTGTCTGCATGGCTAATGGCACTATGGCATCCTCCTGCATGATCCGTCATGGCCTAATTGCATACCATGTAAGAAGAATCCCTTATTCTAAGATTGTGGCAAATCATCTGCAGAGAGGACACTGAACAAGAGCAGAAAGAAGGGAAATGATGGGACGATGTTGAGGTCCCCAAACTCCTATAAACATCCACCCATCAAAACATTCATCCATCCATTCAGCGCCACTCCTGCTAAAAAGGAATGCACCTTATCTAATGGGCCTGCAGGATTTTCTCTAAAAACTCAAAATGTTTCAAATATTTTTGCCCCTCTTCCTCTTCAATCATTTCAGAAGAAGAGGTTTAGATAAGCATCGTTCTACCTGTTTTTCTAGCAATCTCACTCTATACTGAGCCTGGGTCATATTTAACATCCACAGGAAAATTCAAAGGGCTTTTAACAAAAACGTTTTGGAGGACATGGCATTACTTGATGTTGTCACTTGCTCAAACCAAGACCAGTTGGTGCATGGGTCTGAGGAGATGAGGCTCCTCCTCCATTCCATTCAGCAAAGCCAGCTAGGCTGGCAGGCAAGTCCTACTTCACTGTTGATGATGGAGCAGTAAGCTAGATTCAGATGTATAGAGATTCTATTTAGTACACAGCACTGTGTCCTCCAACAGGTTTTTGCTGTTGACTCACTGCTGCCTCTGCTCTCTGAAGCGGCTGCAACAATACCCTGCTTAAGGGTAGCATTGGCCTTGTCTCCAACTTTCCCTAACTTATGGGACAGGACAGTACAGGGCTTCTATGGGTTGAACTTGTTTTATAGGTAGCCTTCATTAGATAAGCCTGGGATCAGAAGAAAACATGATACTTTGGATATAAATTAACACTGATTTGAATTAACAATCTTGGCCTAGTAGGTAATGGTTGATGGATCCAAATGTCCTCACCTCTTTGAATTCTTGGATCTGTGATTGCTCGAACATGGAGAAGACATTGGAAGATCCCCTCTGGGCCCGCTTTGCAGCTGCTTTGCTTCCAGCTTTCCTACTGGCCTGAAAGTAAAGCACCCAATTGTAACATAACATACAATGTCATGGGTCCTGAATGGTGACGCAAAGAGGGTGTTGTCATCCCTGTAGAGCAGCTGGGAGGTGGGTCTGACCAAAAGACTGGACTTTGTGAAGGTACAAAGGCAATGTACATACTATGCGCTTCTGTCAAATAAAAGTTTAGAAATATTGTCAGAGTGTCATATTTATAGTCCTATGCAATATTCAGAGGTAAGTCTGAATATTTGATGGGATGAATGTACAATTATTCGATGGGATGAATGTGCAATTCTATACCCACATAACAGGAATTAAGCCCAAATAAGAACTGGGAGCACTGTTTTGAATAGACTTGCCTACAACTGTGTTGCTGATCCAAAAGGCAGATGGGAAACATCATATAAATTAAACAGATTGACAGATACAGGCAGAGCTAGATAAAGTCTGGAAGAAATGTTCCGTTCTGTGTTGACAGAGCTAAGAATACTGCAGACTACACAAAGATCAAAAGACTCCCTCTTAGCTTTCCACAAGACTCATATGGCTGGGCTTCAAGAGGCCAGTCTGTAAAAAATAAAAATAAAAATTACAACACTGTGCACTTCAACTGTTCTCAGATGGGTGGTTTTTGCCTGTCAACTGAAAAAGGGGAAGTGACTTTTTCAGCCTGTGGCCATTGTTTCTTCAGCGGGACTCATTGTGTAGGAGGATGCATCAACCTAACAAGGCATTTGACAGATTGAAGAGGCAGAAAAGCCCATAAGGCATGATGTCCAAAATACAGTTCTGACAATGCCTTTTAATGGCACCCCAGAATCTGTCTTCTGAGCCTGGCTAACAGTACTATACCCTGTTTCCCGAAAATAAGACCTAACCTGAAAATAAGTCCTAGTATGATTTTTCAGGGTGTTTGTAATATAAGCCCTACCTTAAAAATAAGCCTCAGTTAAGTGAAACCCTGCCCTCCACCATGGTGCAGCAACCAGAAGAAGATGACACGAGTGTGTCTGAATAAATGTAGATTGTTGTACATCAAAAATATAAAACATCCCCTGAAAATAAGCCCTAATGAGTTTTTTGGAGCAAAAATTAATATAAGACCCTGTCTTAATTTTAGGAAAACACGGTACTCAGTAGGTTTATTCACATTTCTAGGTTAAGAGGCCATTGAGATAAACCGCATTTTATCCTAGAAGTGTGCTTCAGGTTTCAGCTGAATAGGATCAGCCTTTGAATGCATACCCACGGCATAGTTGCCGTATCATAATCAAGCTGGCAAACAGGAAATTGTAAACTACTATTGATGCTGGCCAGAACTTGGACCCTAGCATTGATTGCACTTCCCAGGATCTCCAACCAGCATGCTGCCCTGCAGTGCAAATGAGGGGGGGGGGGAAATGCACAAAAAATTCTGCATTGATCTGAAGCTGAATGTGCATTGTTTGTCATGGTTATTGATTAGCTTTTAATGTGCTCTTCATGATGGTTATTAGCCACATTTAACAATAACTTTGAACAGAAAGGCAAGCTTGAAAAGTGATAAACAGCAATAAATATTTAAAACAAACATGCATGCTTAATAGGATCTTTAATTTCACATTGAATCATATCAGGTTTATTACAAAAGTGTTGCCATTGAAATAGCTTTACCATGTAATCCAATGCATGCTACGCATATTAATGTATTCAAAGGGTCTTTTTTTCCTAGCACTGGCATCTCATCTACCAAGTAGTGGGGTGTGTGTGATTGGGCACTTCTTTTACAATAGCAGGAGCAGTCTACAAGCTGCCCATCATTCCTGATAGGTGTGCTTATGATAGCAGCCAAGCACCATTTATTATCTATATGTGTGGAGTGTAGAGTGTGGAGAAACAGAGCTATGTGGAAGTATTTTTGTGCATATGCAAAGTTACAGCTTATCTGAGCTACCAAATAGTTAACTTATTTCTTACCCCCAAAATGGGAGAAGGAAGCTGAAACATGAATCCCTTTGGTGCAAAAAGGCAAGTACAGCATACTAACTTAATTTTAAGGTATCTCCCCCAAAAGCCAAAAATGACAAAAACTGACAAAAATTAAGTGCAGCATTGGGGGGAAAAAGAATTGTCTGTATTAAAGATGAATACTTGTGAGGCACACCTACACAATGAATACACTTACACACTATAGTTTCCAGGGCTGTCCAAAACCCATCACTTGCAAGGCATTTGGAGAAGCAGAGAAAGACGCAAAGTACTCACCATCTTAGATACAGAGTTCCAGAAGAACAAAGGTCTGGATGGTGTCAAGCAGAATCTCAGAATATATCCTGCTGCTTATCATTCTCTGAGCTAAATTGAGAGCCCAGGAGCAGGAGAGAACCAAACTTGGCAATGCTAGCTCAAATGCCCTGGCTATTGATAAGACCTGGATGACAGCACGCTGCAGGTCTTGCTTTGTAGAAAAAGTTGGCATGCGGAGTGAAGTGTTCCATTCTTTACAGAAAAGGCAATGTAGCAGGTAGCCATGTTAGTCTGTTGTAATAATTTATATCAGAAACAGTCACCTGTAAGCCTAACTAGTTTTTGTTTTTCATAAGCTTTCTAGTATCCTAAGCACATCTCTTCAGATGAATGAACTTCATAGAAGAAGTTTTCCTTCTCTGTGCCACAATGGTGTCCAACGCATCTCTTCAGATGAATGAACTTCTTCATAGAATTGTTCATTTTCCTTCTCTGTGCCACAATGGTGTCCAAATATTCACTGCTTTGGTATGTATCTTAGAGCCTGGAAATGTAATGTCACAAAATAAAACAAAATCCTACTGCTCGTCCCAGCTAGAATTGATCCATTGAATTAATGTGATTCACATAAGTGCTGATTCAGTGTTTGCCAGTTGATTCAACCAATTTGAGATTATCAAAAGGTTTTAGGCCGCAGTTGCTTGTAATTAAAACTTCCCTCCCACTCCATAGCTGCAGCTTCAAGAGGGAAGCCTTATACCAGTTTTCCAATATAACTTGTTATTTTTATCATTACAGGCCATAGTCTCACGAACGAATCAAACAAGGTTCAAGTGCTGCCTCACGGTTCACGAAGGGTGCTGAGATGACAGTAATGTAGGTGGAAGGTGAATGTGTTTTTTGTTTCGTTTTTAGTATCTTATTTCTGACAAGAACGCACATTTTCTTTGTCTTGTGCATGAGGCAAAAACAAAAGAAAAATAAAGAAAATAAAGAAAACAAAAATGTTGTGACACCTTAGAAACTAACTGCTATATTTTAATGTGAACATTTGTGGACAACAGCACATCCTCTATTTTGGCAGTGCATGACTGATCTCAAGGAATAGCCAGTCTTATCATATAGAATACACTACCAGAAAGGCAAGTTCTCAGAGGTGCCATCTCTGGGCTAATATATAAACTGGCTTAACATCCCAACACAATCAGCTGGCCACCAAAGGAATCTCCTGGTTGCACCCTGTTCAGCCTTGACATGTGGGTTTCAGTTATTTGCAAAGCTTGGAAAAGTTCCTTTGGGAGCCTGTAGATGTTGCAGTAATGACAGGAGGCTCCGGAAGTTGTGGTCCCCTAATAAACTTTGTCAAGCTGTGGTCTAGGTCTGCTGTAGATTCTCGTCTTGCGTGAGTGCTGCATTCAAGCATAGTAGATTCTCTATATCCAGGATGGGGTGATCTTCCATCAACAACTCTGTCAGAGCATCTGTCCCAGAGATCTACTGCTTCTTCCACCCAGACTTCCCCAGGTCTTATTGTTGTAGGCAGCCATGCCAAGATAAGCGAGGAAAGCTTAGTCTGGGAGTCAGGCAGAATTTATGTTAAGAAATTATTTTAGATGTCTTTGTTTGAAAAAGCCTTCAGGGACATTTTCCTCTTCAGCTAGCAAGCTGGACCCATCTATCACAGATGGATATTGCCATCACCTATGGTTGAATCAGTCATTTAGGTTTTGAGAGTGCCATAAAAACATCTACTTCTGCTTCACTGATTACACAAAAGCATCCGTTTCACAAACATCCTGCCCCCAACCTCCTCTCGATTCCTGCCTTCGCCTCCTCCGACCAGCTTCACCTCAGCCCTCTCCTCCCTCTCCTCCTCCTCCTTTCCCCATCTCGTCCTCCTCTTATCTACCTCAACCCAGCACTTCCATTGCCACTCTCTCTCCCCTCTTCATATCTCTTTGTCCCTGTTCTCATCGGTTCTTCCTTTCCCCCTCACTTACCCTAGGGACGGCCCCTGGAGGACAGTGCAATGTGGTTGCATAGAATGCATTAAATTCATAAACCAAGATACACCTGTAAGGTAAAGTTTCCCCTTGACATTTAGTCCAGTCGTGTCTGACTCTAGGGCGTGCTGCTCATCCCTGTTTCCAAGCCATAGAGCCAGTGTTTGTCCGAAGACAGTTTCCGTGGTCACGTGGCCAGCGCGACTAGACACGGAACGCTGTTACTTTCCCTCCAAGATGGTACCTAATTATCTACTTACATTTTTACATGCTTTCAAACTGCTAGGTTGGCAGGAGCTGGGACAAGTGGCAGGGACTCACTCCATCACATGGATTCGATCTTACGACTGCTGGTCTTCTGACTTTACAGCACAGAGGCTTCCGAGGTTTAACCTGCAGTGCCACCACGAATATTATAATAATACCCTTTATTAAAAATAGTCATTAAAACATTAATATTAATATTGTTTTTAGACCTATTTTTCTTCTTTCATAAGGAGAGACTTCAACTGAGATTTCCCACACCGTGAGACAAATGCACTGGTCAGTAAACTAGAATGGATTTTCAGTAATATACGCCTTATTGAAATGTAAGCCTTATTAAAAGCTTAATCCCAAATAGCTTGAAATTGCTGGTGCACTATACGTCAGGCTTTGAACAACCACAAGCATTGACATTGGGTGGAGGGAAACCTGATTCGTCTAAAATCATTTGGTTGGCCCAAGGCCAGGAAAACACTGGCCAGAATCCTATTTTGAAATTCTCTTTGCACAGGGTTAAACTGTGCAAATGACTTTTTACAATTTTTTGGCTGTTCCTTGCCCAGGCCTGCGACTATATGTCACAGCTGCTAGAACCATCGTGCACACCAGTGACCTCTTTTGGGGTCAACGGTGTGCAAACCCAACAAGATTCTGATGACTTCATTGGACAAAGCTCAGAAAGAACTATGAAGGCCTCTTAGAGAAATGTGACCACCAGCCTGGCCACAGAGAGTCTCAAAAAACCCCTATACAATAAACATTACAAAAGTATTTTATTGATCACCCATCTCTCTATATGTTGCTGGAGGAAAATCATACGGAAGTGTTGAGCACATAGCCAAAAGCTGCAGACTTGAGGCTATCCAACAAATCCAGGAGATATTTAGTGATTGCCCCGCCAAGCATCATGAATGTTGCAGTAGTCCTCACTGCAGCACCAGGTACGCTGTGTAATGCCTTTATGAAACTTGATGAAGTGCTTGCAGTCCCAGGTGCAGCCTCGCTTGATCTTCCTAATTAGACTCCCTGGAAACAGGAAAGAGAAAGGAGAAGAAGAAGGGAATACTAAACCACATCTGTGTACTCTCTACGTAGAAAATCCTGGAAAGGGTTGCCGAGCAGAACATGTGCATTCAAATAAACTTCAGTTAGCCCTTTGCATTGATTCAAGCCAATACTCCCTCTAGAGGACCCTCTTTGAAAACCAGCGACATTTTGTTCAGGATCCACTTGTCTACTTTCATTTCAACCAATTAAATCTTGGCATAAAAATGATGCCAGAACTTAGCTTTGGCAACCCCTTGGCTGTCCCTCCAATCTGCTTTGTCCAGACATAGAAGTGTAACACTTTGGTTCTTTATACAGCATTCGGTTGGCAGTCCCAGCCAAAGTAGATCTGATGAATCAATGGCTTCATTAGTAAGTTGCGACTAGAGTAGCCTCATTGAATCAGCAGGTATTTGGTGAGTCAACGCCTCTGTAAGTTCAGTTGATTCAGTGGGCCTACTCTAATTGCAATTTACTACTGGATTTCAGCCAACAGGATTTACTCTTCATTCAGCAACTGATTCAAATAGGTCTACTCCAGTTAGGACTACCACTGGATTTTTAGGGCTTAGTCTCTAAATTTAGGACAAGTTTTAAAACATACAGCTTGTCTTCTTTTAAGTTAGGCTCTTGATGATGGCTGTTGTTATACGTCAAGTTGCCTGCAACTTACAAAGACACTAATATTGTTTTTGAGGTACATGAGATGAGTAAGAATGCTTAGCCACTGCTATCCCCCCAGTGAGTTTCCATGGATGGGCAGAGATTTGAACCCCAGTCTCCTAGGCCCTATTCCACCACACCATGCTTGTGATCACCTTTGGAACAGCTTCTTGTGTAACAGAATCCACTTGTTCGGCAGTAATGCTGGCCTTGGAAACAGGTATTATCTTTTAAAACTAATGGACACTCATAGCATCTGGGTGGTTTCACTGCAAAAGACAAACAAAATTTAAGAATATAAGCTCTACCCTGCCTTTCCCCAGAAAAGGCATGGCAAGAAAAAGGCATCTATCAAGAAATACTGCCACAAACACCCATCAAGAAATGCCCCAAATAAATAAATCTACACCTACTGACATTAGAATTAAGTGCCAGCATTAAGGGAAGCATTTGGAGTACCTCTGTTTTACTATTAATTGCTCTCAAATTTGTTATTTTCAAGATTCAAGACAAAAAATCTTATGAATAATCACTATGAGGAACAGTATGTTCAGTCACAACTGTAGTGTGTGCTTCTGTCCATTATTTTTATGTGCTGTTGCTCTTTTTGTTATGTACTGTCAAGTTACTTCCAGCTTCTGGAGATGCTAGTAGCATTTAGAGGTATTTGAGACGTTCAAGGAATGAACAACACACAAATATAGTATGGCTCTCTCTCTCACACACACACACAGAGTGTGTTTCAATGAGCAAATTGAGATTTGAATCCGGATCTCTTGGGTTCCAGTCTGATATTCTGCCTCCTTCCATTTTCTCCACTGTCCATAATCATTTCTTGCCAGGTGTCATGCACTTTGATCATGCAATTTCCCAGTATGAGCAGATCCTTTTCAATAGATTTCTTTGATTTATCATAATTATCTCAATAAAGCATAATAGTAGTAAAACAGATACCCCAAAACTGAGCCACGTGTTTCTTAAAGAAAGTATCTGACTTCTTTTCTACATATTGTTCCTCATCTGGAAGACAAAGAAGAAGTTCTGTTTCAGATTCATTGATCACATAACCTGCTACTCTATTAAAATACTGTACAATTTAGGTTACAATCCGACACTCCCTTTACCTGAT